ATTGACCTCAGTTGGCTTCTTGAGCAGGACCTCATTGACTACAGTCAAATTGTAATTAAAAAGTCACTATTTGCCAATTGTTATTATACGAAGATATCTGGGATTCACAGTTTCCCCCATAATTACAATAGGAAGCAAATGTTACTATGTGGTATCCTAACAGCAACCACTATAGGTCTCTGATCAGTACTTAACACGATTAGTTAATTAAGTTAGGAATGATTGAAAATTGACTACTATACATGTGCAGTGGAAAAGCTTACTAATTCCCATCACCCTGACCTGGCAATTTCTTCTTGTGAGGAAGGACAGATGGCCTGCTACTCCCCCCCTTGCATCTTTGGTAGATGTGCTTGCCCCTCTGCAGTCTTCTCAAGATCACTGATCTCCTCAAATCCTTGATGGTTTTGGAGGTTGCCTGTGAATGACCTTTCCACAACACTATACTACAGAACAGTAAATTGTTCCTTGCCACTTACACTCAGAGAGAGTGAATTAAGTTCAGACATGCTTTCTGAGGACATTAGTCAAAATGACTTCTACTAACCCTTAAGATCACCTGCAGAGGCTCAGCCAATCCGAGAACAAGAACTCATACCATGTGACTTATGACCAATCACGAACAACCCAGTTAAAAGTATGAAAAGTGAGCACAGGCATTTGCTGCATAATTTTCACAACCATCCTAATTCTAAAGAAAGTTTGGGGGGAAATGTCATTGAGTTCAGAAATTATTTAAAGTTGTTCTAATTTCACAGAATGTTGTGAACCTAAAACAGATATATTTTGATGAAAGCACATTTCTCTATGAAAATTTCTTTCAGCTCTAGTTTGGCTTAAGACTAAAGTTGGGTCTGTGGGCTGCACAGTCTCTTGGGAATTACAGTTCATTTTGATGCCATGAATGAATGGCATTTTGGAGAGCTGCCATTATTTTTCCCAATCCCACCCTTGTAGCTGAAAGGCTAGAAAACCTAGTTGGGAACCCAAGCGCCCACCCCAACCATCCCAGACCCCCTGAAAGCTGCAGGGGCCTGGTTTGTTCTGATGGTGGATGTTGGGCCAGGTAACTTCATCCTTGATTCTAATGGTTTCTACTTCTCCCTCTCCTGGAAGCTGAGTGCAGACTCAGGAGATGTCACTGAACTGTGGTACTCTCCCTAGCTTGCACTTTGAGAGAGTTGCACTGTAAGCAGTCTATTTTAATCACTTTTCAATGCATGTCAAGAGGCCTAAATAACTAAAGGCTGCTTAAGTTTTTTTCATAAATGCACCCTTGTCGATATATGCTAACAGTTTAAGTGTTCTTGTCACATTAAATATTTGAATCTTAAAACATTGTCTTCTAAAGGATTTGAAGATTTATTTCAATAGGCCTTAGATACCCGGTGCTGTTGAAAATCCCAGTAGGCACCTACCCAAATCTTTATTGGGATTTAGTTATTATTCTGAATGGGACTAAATACCATTAAAAATGTGTCTCTAGTTGCTTTGCCAAATTGGGTTCTAAAATCAGTGGTCTGATCTTCAGGAGTGCTGAACAACCCACAGCTCCAATTGACTTTAGTGGCGTTATTCTTAATTTACTTGTGTAACAGAGAGGGGAATCAGACCCAAGCTCTCCCTCCACCACCCAAAAACCCTTTGTCAGTTATGATGCGAATGGAACTGTCAATATTGTAGTGTAATAATTACCACTTGTACCATAGTAATAGACTTATTATGGTTCTTCTATTTAGTCATGCTTTGTCTTGTTATAAATCAAGAGTGAAGTCAGCCCACCTCCCTCCCACAAAGCCCAAGTAAGCAACACTATGCAGGGAACCAGTAGGAGTTAGGAGCCCCACACCATCCCCAAGTAATAGTAAAGGCACGAGTCCCTGGGCTACCAGAGGGATAGTACCCTGTGAGTGCTCCTTGGGATGCGGCATGTTGGGTGTGGGCTATAAACAAGAGGTGGCATGGCCAAAGCGTTCTTTGCTCCAGTGACCTTTGCCAGCATTACAACCTATGCCGCATACTTCCCATGAACCACTACGCCAAGTCTTGCTTTGTGCCTCAGTTTCCCCATCTGTAAAAGGGCATTGTGAGGCTTTATTCATTAATGTTCAGGACAGGATTTTCATATAGAAGGTGCTGTCCAAAGCATTATTGTAAGTGTTGAAGCAGTTGCAGCAATGCTTATCTGAGTGGCAAAAGGCTCCAGCAGTGGCGTAGTCCATTTTATCACCTCAGGGGAGGCAAGTGTGCTAAGCAAGTGAGCTGAAGTATTTGCATCCAATATTCAAGGGCTCCTGTAAAGCATAGAGTAATAATACTTAGGTCTTACGTAGCACTGGAAGCTATTGCCCCAGCGACGGTCCTTAGGAGTGAAGGCCTTTCTGTCTTGTCCAGCTGCAGGGTGGGCTTCATGCAGATTGTTAAATGTCGGTGGAGTTGCTGATCTTGAGCGATACTATTGCTAAGGCAGATTGAAAATACCTGCTGGAAGCTGCTAGCTCCTGGCTGCTAACCTTTCTACATTAATTAGGGGGTAGATTGTGTGCACTAAGAGGTGGGTGTTGCAAGGCTGCAGTTTGTTTTTGCTCTCCACTACGGAAACAAATACTAATGACAACTTGTTCTGTGCAGAAAGGGAACTGCCCCCACACACTGAACTGAGGCCCAAAAAATGTATTTAAATAACTAGACCACAGTTTTCACCGTGGAATGCTGAGATGCAAGAACCTGTTTTGTATTGCTTTATAAAACCTCTCATAATATTTATAAAACATTACTGTATAATTTTCTTTGGAAATAGTATAATAGTCTTTTTACTTGGGTATCTGATCAGAAAAGCTGCCATTACTTGCTGGGTTTTGTTTTTTGTTTTTTTTACTAAGAAAGCCATGCATTGCTATCCTGGAAATTGACAGTTTATAAAAATGACTCGAGTCTCCCAGGAACCAACGGCCAATTAAGGGCCCACAGAACTTAAGAGGAGTTTTGTTGTTGACTTCAAAGGAATAGGATCATGCCTTTAAGGGGATTTAAATTGCTTTGATGTTGGTAGTGGACAATGAAATGCAATATTATTGATGTATCTTGGCAATAGGACAAAGACAAACATACAGTATGACAAGTAAACCTAAAATATACTTACCTAGATGCCCTGAATCAACTAAAATGTGGAAAAAAACCCACTTTATTTGAACTGTTTAAATCAGATTATTTTTCTCATCTCCCTTTTCCCTTCTTGTAAGAGCTGAATCATCTATTTAAAGTTTTCAGTCACTTCTCTCTCATCCTCCCCCCTGCCCGCTTGTAAGAATTGAATCATCAAATTAACAGTAGAATCTATTTGAAAGAGTTTATTAAAAATTGAGGAAAAACAGGAAGATTGAGTAAGAGCACATCATGGCCAAACCATTAATAAATTAATTCTCGAGCAATAATTAATTTCCATTATAACCCAGTAAATACACCATTATGCATAGTGAATGTCCTTTAGCTAGGCACATGCCGCTACAGGCAAAAGAATAAAACTCCAGGTATCCCATAGCATGACACAAATTGTGTGGTGGTTGTGCTAATCTACAGGGAAAAGCTATGGCGTAATTGTGTGAAACTCCTTTGTAAGAACCAGCTATCAGAGATTTCCTGTTAAAGCGATGATGGAGGTGTATGGGAAAAGCTAGCTGCAATGAAATTTGCTCGTTAGCATCAGCTCTACTGCCTGGTCATGCCCAGGACATCCATCACTGCTAGGCAGTGGCCCCACACTGCAAGCCCAGGAGGATGGCAGCTGCTTTAAGCACTTTGTTCCCCTCTCTTGGGCCCTTGATCTTAAAATGCAAATTTCATTACATTGCCTCTGTTGTGTGCAGAAATAGACTTGTAGAAATGGGGCTGGGGGGTTCATGTTAGGGAAGCTAGAGAAACACCTGCATGTCAATAGAACAACCTTGTGAGCTGCATTGCCATACAGCACTTGAGCTGGGGAATCATGGAATCAAAGGGTATCTCTCCCTAGAGTCAGATGTTAATGGGGCAGCTGTATTTGTTCCTGTGATGTCAGCCCTGTGTGGTACCTGGAAGCCCAGTTACAAGGGAAGAATAGTAAAATTGACAAGTCCATGGCGTTAACAATTACGTTTTCTCCTCTCTTGTCTGTTTTCCTCAGAAGAAGGAAATAAGGGTCAAAGCACTTACAAATGGCATTTGGAAGTCTTACAACTCCAAAATGTCAAAATATGACCTGCCTGATTATTTGTGGTTGTCAAGTGAGTCTTGTGAACATTTTATCCCTGTCTATGCTCCCACTCTGATAGAGACATTGGGAGAAGGGGAAGGAGGGGTGGCGGAAGGGAGGAGAGAAAGGTAGTAAAAAGCACAACTTTGCATCTCTGTTTTAGCCTTTTCTATTGCTTCCCATAAACACCAGCCCAGTTGCTCTGAGCTTCCTAAACATGTAGTGTGTGTGCGCTGAGGTTGCAGATGGTGTAAAGCTCACCTTTGCACTCTTCGTTCTGCTGCTTTGTGCAGGCCTACACCCCCTTTGTCAAGTTAGGGCAGCTAGATGCCAGCTGCTAACAGACATTTGGGGCCAAAACCATGACTACAATCAGGGTGCTACAAGGATGTCCCCTTTGGTGGCAGCAGAGGGTGGGTGTCGCATAAGAGATCCTACTTCACCATTATCAGCCTGGCAGGACCAACTATGTTGCTCTCTCAGCAGAGCCCTCCAGCCAAGCAGTACAAAGCATATCAAAGTCAAAACATACCATGTGGTGAATGCCTGAAGCTCAGAGAAACACACTCTAGCTTTGGAGTATGATTCTAACCACAGCTTTAGTTTTGTTTTTTGGCACGAGCTTCAGCTCTGGTTTTGCACGGAGATCAGGTGGACAACTGTGTTCAGAATTTAGGCCTTAGTGAGTAGCGAAAGGGGGTGTAAACTCAAGTGTTGAGCAGTGCACATTCAAGAATGTCCAGGGGGCTTGTTCACTGGCACTTTGACGTCAAAGAATCTACTGAGTTTATTGATCACATGGGGAAAAGTTACATAAGCAGCTGGTTCTAATACCCCTACTGCTCAGAATTAAAAGAACCAGTCACTGAACAATATATGTAAGTCTTCATTGTTGCAAAACAAACCCCAAAAATGTGAGCATCTCAAAGAAAACTAAAACATAAATGTATATGAACCAACAGATATATTCACAAAACATTTGGTCATTTCCATCTTTTCTTCAGAAATCTTTTCCTTGTTTGACTGGTCGATGTATTACATATATTCTCCTATATATCATACACATTTTAAAGAAAAATCATGGTCTAATCCTTAAGCATAGCTATTGATTAAATTTGATTCTAATTTGTAACATGAATCCAAGCTACAGAGGACGCACATTCTCAGATAAAAATACAGAAAAGGTTTTGCACATTTGTCTATTTTGCCCATGTCTCAGCCTGATTACAGCAGAAGTGAGCTGTTGCAGGGGGATTAATTCTAATTAGAAAGAACATCTGCACTCACACAGATGTCTAAGTAGGCTATTCTTTAGTTATCATATTAAAACTGCGTCAATATTTCCAAATCTTTATTATCCTGAGTAGGAGGTTTATGGCTGCCTTCCTGCTGACTAGCCCCAGAAATCGAATTGTACAAATGTTACATTCAGTATATGAACTTTCACTGTGAATGAACCTGGGCAATTTTTTCTTCAAATAGCTTGTTTCCATCTTTACTTTAATGCAACCCCTCATCCCAAGGAATATGAAATAATCATCTTCCTACTGTCATGAAGACAGATCCTGTAAACCCCTTCTACCAGTAAGAGTTTTTATTACCAAGGATGGCATAGCAAGAAGGATTTGCAGGATTGTGCTCCATGGTTTTGAAAGTTGTCGGGAACTGAGGCTCAGTTTTAAACCCTAAATTGTAACAAGTAGAGTTTAGGATTATGCTTGACCAGGTCATCTCTTTAAAAAGTCATAGCTGTCCATTTCTTTTCCTTGCATACAAGCCTAGACAGGCACAGAATCCAATGATAGTTAGAACTACACCTAGCAAGAGAGCAATTGCGTCTCCAGTGTCCAGGGCTTCAACCACAGGCAGCATAATCACCAGTGAAAGGAGCACCAAAAAGAGTTGTGAGGCGTTCCCAAGAAAAGCCATGTTGCTGATCAGGTGGTCTTGGAAGGGAGGTTAAACAATGACGACAAGCTGGTACTTCAAATGTATCTAAAAATAAAACAAAAAGGAACATGACAGGGTTTTTTCCTTTAAATTTATTTCCAAGAACTCTAGATCAACAGATGTCACTGGAGTATCACTGGATGTGACTGGAGTATGATTTACTTGGGATTGGTCCTGCTCTGGGCAGGGGGTTGGACTAGATGACCTCCAGAGGTCTCTTCCAACTCTGATATTCTATGATCACCAAATCTGTATGGAAATGTATTGTCGTGTGATTGATCCACAGAGCAGGAATGAGACTTGGGAGATTCAGGCTTGGTCTTCACTGACACAAAAAGTGATTTTCTTTAGAGTAAGATAAAAAACCCAGAGAGAGTTCTCTGTAAAATCCTAAGTGAAGACACCATAGCGTTTAACATGAGGAAGCTAGTCAAGGTCAGCACTGAACTCCTCACCCAGGGTTGATCTTACCTAGTTTATCTCGCAGTAACACTAAAGTGACTTGTCTCCACTAGGATTTTACAGCAGGATAGCTAATGCAGGAAAAAACACACCTTTTTGGTCAGTGAAGACATTGCTTTAGGGAAATTATTCTGGAATAAGGGTGGGTGGGAATTTAAAATGAAAAGTTATTGTGGAATAGGTCCCCATGTGGATGTCCTATTCTGGAATAAGAAGCCTTTCCAGTTTAGCTTTAATTTACTTCCAAAGTGGATCAAGCTAAATCAGGAAAAAAAACCCATTCTTATTCTGAAGTAAGTGTGTCCACATGGGGAACTATTCTGGTCAATACCCCCAAGCAGACAAGCCCTTAGGTTTTCTTCCTGGCTCTGCCAAAGATTCTTATATGACCTGGGGCAAGTCACTAAAATCTCACTGTGCTTCAGTTTTCTCATAATTATCCCCTAATGGATTGCATTGCTAGGGTGATCCATGCATTATATTAGCTTTATCAGTGATATAACATTTATGTTATTGCCACAATTAACATCCACTAAAAAAGTGGACCTAAAACTGAATGAAATTGCCCCTGTGCTTACACCTTTCCAGATTTCCCTTCCCTGTGTCCAAACACTGGAGTTTGAAGGGCAGATGAGCATAGAGATTGAGAAAACAGGACAGTGTAAATTATCTACAAGTTTTTGTCTTCTATTAAAATAATTAACAGCAACTTACCTTAACCTCTATAATTACTCTAATATTTCCTTTTTGGTTAGCATTGGAATCTAGAAAGCAATGAACTCCACTCAGTCATCACCTGTCAAAAATCAAGAGAGTTATTTGTTCTGTTCATGGAAATGTAAAAGCTTTGCTAGCCATAGACAGTGGAAGGGAAAAGAGGAAGAGGCGGTAAAGGGAGTAAAAAAAAATTCTCAGAGCTTAAGAGTCATGTGCAGCAACATGTGACTGGCAAATAAAATCGGCTTCTCTGCAGACAACTTTGCACAAAATATGAACTCTGGGTCCGAAAGCAAAGGGGGAGCTTGAGCTGTGAACGGCCCCGGATCTCTTTAATCTACAAAGTTTATAGTCTCACCCTGCGTTAGAAGCCAGGCGTATGTGCATTACCTTCCTGGAGGCAGCCATTAGAGGAAGAAAGAAAAAGAGGAAGACAGTTTGACTACGTTTCCCAGCATTTGTGCTGCCTACAATTCCCACAGTGCATTAGAGCAGATCAGAGTTAACCTTTTAGATACACATAAAGGGCAGATTTCTAAAAAAATAAAAAATAAAATAAAATTTCAGGCATTCTGCTTCCAGTGGAAATTCAGATTGTCGACTGAGTCTACAGCAGTCAATATATCTATACTCCATCTGCTATCCACTAATCTTTGTGTTGCTTTATACAGCTTTTAGGACCTGATTTGGATCTTGCATCAGTGTAACTCCACCAACTTTTGCTCCTGGTTTACAGCTGTATAACCGACAGAAGAACCAGGACCTTCGAATCTATGATTAATAGTGATGTGGCTTATTATTAATTTTCATTTAATAAAAACTAATACCAGGCAAATGTTTTATGTCTGTTTGTGTAATCTCCTAAATCAATACCTAACTATTCCTCTGCAGCGTTCATAATTAAAACATAGAAACTTTTTGCTACTGCCTGATCACTAGAATTAAATTATTGCTGCTATTAATACTACCATAATTATTTCTTTCTGCAGCACCCAAAAGCATGTTTGGTACCTCCTAGAAACACAAACACAAGGCCCCAACAGACATAGAGGTCTGCCTTTGAGGATCAGATTGAAGAATCAGGGATTTTAGACCCAATTCTACAAAAGAAAAAAAAGGGTGCCAAACCACAGGGCACAGAATAAGGGAGGTGGAAAGATAATGCATAACTCTGCATGCCCACAGAGCCCTGTCTTCACTAGTACTTTCACCATTGTTACCACCAGTGCAGCTGCCCTGATTGTAATGTATTGTTGGGGGAATTCTCCAAAAATGCTAGTGTAGGGGAGGGCTAAAAGACATGAAGTACATATGGAAGTCATAATCCAGGGGCAGTTCTTAATATCAATATTTTAAAAAATCCTGACTTTAGTACAAGCCATTTAAAGGGACACATATTTTAAACCCTAAATAATAATGCCTTTGTTTATTAAAATTGAAATAATTTAAAAATCTAGTTTTCTTGGCATGCTGGTCAATCCCCGTTTTGTCCTATTTTCTTTCTCCAAGTTGAGATAAGAGCACTTAGTTTCACTGTTGGCTGTAGCCAATTTGTCATTAATTTCACTCAGAGTTTCATGCACCAGCCATAATAAATAATAATGATACTAATTAGCAATTAAATATCACTTTTCATCAAGAGATCTCAAAGCACTTCTAAAAGGTGAAAATTATAGCTCCTTTAAAAACAAACTGAGGCACAAAAACGTTAAGTGATTTACTTGTGGTCACCGAGCAAGTCTATGAAAGAGTCACGTATAGGAACTAGTTGTCCTCATTTTTTTCTGTATTTTCTCCATTGGACAATGCTGCTTGTAGCAAGGCTGTACATTGCAAGATTGCTGCATTGTGTAGGACAATGCTGCAATGTCTACCTTGCAAACGCTGCAGAGGGATGTGTGTTCAAAAATATTGTTTCAATTGGCATTTTTAAAGAATGGATGGACACATTTTTATTGATGTTTGGTTAAAACTTGTTTTTTTAAAAAGAAAGCCTAAATTTAAGGCCAATTCTAACACACACAATATTCTAATATTTAATCTCCCTAAAAATGAATACTTTCATTATGGTGTAGCTGTTTGTACTATGTAGGGGACATAGGATTACTCTTTTGAATCCTTCCCTATATTAAAATGAGCTAACCCAGTGTCATTATGGATGTATGTACAATCTTTATTAAAAACTACAAAATCACAATTAACTTTGTTCCAAAAAAATAAAGCCCTCCCAGATACCCTCAGCCAGAAACTTTCACTACTCCATTTCACTACTCCATTCATCTGGTCATCCTTTGCTTCCAGAAAAGCCTTGCAGAACAGATGAAAGGAAGTGACATCACCGCCAAGTCACTGTCCTTACTGTTGCCTGGATCCTCATACAAATATATGAAGTCGTTTTTCCCAGACTCAATTTTGAGCCAGAACATGCAATAGATCAATAAGGAGGTGTTCACCTTTAGTAACACCACTCAGGAGAGGGGCATCTGCATTCTAGAGTAGTTAGGGTTTCTGAGCAGTCTTCATAGACAGTCACAGGTAGAATTTTTTACAATAGTTGAATTGAAAAGGCATGCTATTAAGCCAAGAACTAAGACATGGATGATCAAGGCTAAACTATCATCTTATAGGAAGGACACAGTCTTTGCCAGTTGTAAGTGAAAGAAGGTTGTTCTGGTGACTGATGTGGTCAACAAGTCTCCATGATGCAAAAGGTTAAAACCAAAATTCTAATTAAGACAAGTCAGCGTCACAACAGGTTTAATAATTTATGGTGATGAAAAAGCCAGAATAGTTCTTCCATTATTTTATGACCAAGAATGGAGCTTGCCATTGTCTACCTTGCCTTCCAATTCAAGTTTGTAATTCTATCCATTTTAGGTACTTATATGGCTCCCACTATTGTAATATCTGAATGCCTTGCAATCTTGTATGTATTTATCCTCACAAAACCCCTGTGAGGTAGGGAAGTGCTATTATCTCCATTTTACAGATGGAAACTGAGGCATCAGGAGGCCAAAATAACTTACTCCAAGTCACATAGGAAGTCAGTGGCAGAGCTAGGAACTGAACCCACCTTTTCCAAGTTCTAAAGTAGGGTCTGAACTGCTGGATCATCCTTCCTGACAAGTCAGGCCTTCTTGAGCTTTTTGGTGTTCAAAAGTGTTTCTGAGGCTAAAGACGGTGCTATGATGGAAGGCATTGGAGGTCTCACTACACCTGGAAGTATTGCTGACTATCTGAGTCTCTTCCAGATTTCTAAAAAAACACCTCTGTTGCAACTACATGTGTTCCTGCCTGCACAACAACCTGACAGGCTTCCCAGATTTTGGGAAGATGGTAGGTTCCCCCCCAACTTACTTGCCCAGTTTTTTCAGTTGTCTTTAATTTATTAAAATTGCTTAGCAGTTGGGAGAGGAAGCAAATGACTCTGTTCAGTCTGCCACTCTGAGTTTATATTCCCCTGCCCTTCCCCTAGAAAAGGTACAAGTGGGTTTGCACCCTGTTGTTTTGGTTATTATTGTTCTTGGGAGTAATCGACTGAATTACAACTCCATTGTGCAGTCACCTCACATCTACTGTGTAGGAATAAGTGACAAACATTGAAAAGTTTAGGTTATAGGTGATGGTGTCAACAAATACAGTGTGGAAATTTACAAGAAATATGGTTTACATTGCAGAGCAGCACAGTGTGTACCTGTCAACATTGCAGGATGCAATAAATCTGCTTATAGGGAACAAGGAGAACAATTCTGAGGCCCACTAGCTAAGGTGACAAGGCTAATCAAAATTACACTTACCATACCAGGTTCCTCCTGAACTTTAGGAATATCATTCTTTAAATTTCAGTGGCTAGCCGACAGGTCTGAAAATATAATTGTAAATGAAGTCATTGTTGAGTGAGGTTCTGCAGTGATTGGTTCTTGGCCCTACACCAGTGGTGGGCAACCTGCTGTCCGTGGGCCACACGTGGCCCACCCAGGTAATCTGATTGCAGGTCGCGAGACATTTTGCTGATGTTGACCATCCGCAGGCACGGCCCCTTGCAGCTCCGATTGGCCGGTAACAGCGAACCGCGGTCACTGGGAGCTGTGGGGGGGCCATGCCTGCGGATGGTCATCAGCAGCAAAATGTCTTGTGGCCCACAGTCAGATTACCCTGATAGGCCGCATGCGGCTGTTGGGCCACAGGTTGCCCACCACTGCCCTACACTATTTAACATTTTTATCAATGACCTGGAAGAAAACAGAATCCACACCGATAAAGTCTGCTGATGATGCAAAGATTGGGGGAGCCGTAAATAATGAAGACGACAGGTCATTGATACGGAGCCATCTAGATCGTTTGATAAACTGGGTCAAGCAAACACTATGTATTTCAATATGGCTAAATGTAAAGTTACACAGGTAGGAACAAAGAATGCATGCTATATACTTACAGGATGGGGGACTCTATCCTGGGAAGCAGTGATTCCGAAAAAGACTTGGGGTCATGGTAATTGTCACCGTGCCTCAGTGCGTCACAACTGAGAATACCAAATTCAGGACAAACTGCTGAGAAATAGGGCATGCACACCCCAAAACTCGTGGTTATTTTTCCATAAGATATACCGAACTGGCAACAAAAGTAAACTTCTGTCTCACCACACTGGCTAACAAGTCAGACAGAGCCTCCTTAGGTATTCTAGTTCTTGTTTCAACACCCAGACACTAGACTTAATGATGAGTGGTTATTTAAAACCAAATTTCATCAACCAAAGGGTTCTTATGATCCCAGCCACATACCCAGGTCAATATATAACTCAGATCTTACCCAATAATCATGCTGTTGCCCATCCTTTAGTATCTAATATCTAAAAGTTTATTTATAAGAGAAAAGAAAGGTGAGCAGTGGTGAGCTGGAGCCGGTTCGCAGTGGTTTGCTAGAACTGGCTGTTAAATTTAGAAGCCCTTTTAGAACCAGTTGTCCCTTGGTTCTAAAATGGCTTCTAAATTTAACAAGCGGCCAAAAGTGGCACTTTAGATGCAGACTCCGTGGGTGTTTCGGGGCTGGAGCACCCAAAGGGAAAATTTGATGGGTGCAGAGCACCCACCGGCAGCACTCTGCCCCGCCCCCAGCTCACCTCCTCTCCACCTCCTCCCCTGAACGCGCCACCCTGCTCTGCTTCTCCACCCCCCTGGCCTCCCGCGAATCAGCTGTTTGCATGGGAAGCCAGGGGGCTGAGAAGCAGGCAGCGGCTTTGTGCTCAGGCCCAGGGGAGGCGGAGGTGGAGTGGGGGTGAGCTGGGGCGGGGGGGCACGAGGCCACCCACGGCACAGCAGGTAACCTGGGGGGGGCAATGCAGGGGAACCGCTCCCCGCCGCAGCTCACCGCACTCAGACCCAGGGAGGCAGAGAAGCTGCTGCTTGCTTCTCAGCCCTCCCCGGCTTCCCGTGCGAACAGCTGATTTGCA